TATACAGTGGTGCCTTGCTTGACAATGTTAATTCGTTCCAGCGAAATCGCTGTAGAGCGAAAACCTCATCAAACGAAACAAAAAATTAATTGAAACACATTGAAATCGTTCAATGCGTTCCAATAGGCTGAATACCTGTTCATCCAGCAAAGATCCTCCATACGGTGGCCATTTTCGGTGCATGTAAAGCGAGGAATCCGTCCTAGAAAACAGTGGTGGGCTGTTTTCTTCAGCTGGCAGCCATTTTGAAACCCGACAATCAGCTGTTTGGTGATTGTCGTAAAGCGAAAATTGGTTACCGAAGCAAGGAACCGATCATCACTAAGTGAAATTCCCCCATTTAAACCACCGTTTTGCGATTGCATAAGTGATCGCAGAAACGTCAACGTAATGCAGATTCGTCGTAGAGCATGGTAATCGTCCAGCGGGGCACTACTGTACTTGTAAACAATATGCCTGGAGAACCTACACCATGTCTTGAAGGAAAGAATAATCATTTCTGTGCAGATATACTGACTTGGGAACTCCATTGACCATTACAGGACATAATTTCTGACCAAATATGCATAGGGCTACAGTTTTAATCATCTTCCTAATGATCTGTTAATAACAGAGTTGCATAATCGTGATACCAATTCTTGAACTAAAAATGTGATGGAACCTGTCCCATCTCCTTGGTTGATCGCCCACTCAGACAAGAAGGCAGGACAGGCAAGCCTGTGCTCCTGCTGGGGACTGGCTGAACCATCGAAGAAGAGGAGGAGGAGAGCGTGGGTGGGTCATTGGCCAGGGAGGCGGAGGAAGGGAACACGCGGCACCAGTGCTTGCAACCTGGCACAAACCTCTGAACGGAGGGTTATGCCCATTCTCTAGTTGCCATTATTATTGTTGCAGTCATCAGTCTCATCAGGTGCTATGTATACCTTCAAGTCGCCGGTCTCTTGAGACTGAAGCCCAAAAAAGCTTCAAAAATTCTCACAGAGTGGCCGTCTGCGGAGTTTACTATCAACCCTTTTACCTCAGCGCCACCTTCTCTGTCTGGTACCATTTCTTCAGAGTTGTCTTTCCCCCTCACTTGCTACCTGAACCAGGTGAGCATGGCGGGCCGGTTTGTGAGCTCTGTCCTGTACAGTCTCTTTGGATATTAAATCCTCCAGTTCTTGTGCGTGAATTCATGTAGAGACTCCCTCCCTCTTTGTTTCTCTCCCTCTCTTGCTTCTAATTAGGCCCTTAACCGCATTAGTTTTCAAATAGGAGTTTTGGATGCACAGCCAGCCACTCTTGCTGCCAATATGCTTTGATGAAAGAATTAAGGTTCCCCCCCCCACGCTCCTTTCACCCCACAAGCTGGGGCAGATGCCTGCTCATTTAGAACTGCCTATCTAGTGTGTGCACGTACAAGGGAACCCCACTTGGCTGATTTCTTTCAGCTCCCTACATGCCTGTCCATTGCTGCACTGCTATGTGTTAAGATGGCTTCCACCTTCCAGATACAGGGAAGCTTTGAGAGACTGAAGAAAGCACAGGGTTCCCTGCATCACAGGGGGTGATTGCTGTTTAATGACAGGATATGGCATGGAGGCTTTCTGTAGCATGAGAGATGGAGGTGGTCCTACAGAGTTTCTGACGTGCTGATCCTAAGTGTATCTGAAATTTTTTGTATGTGCCATTTATGGTCTCTTGCAGTCAGCTTAGGGTGTAGTAAAACAAAATCTGTCCCATCCCATGGAGTAGGGCAGCTGTGTGTTTAGCCATTCTTATTTGGGAATGGCATGTTAGTTCCCCATTTGTACCGGTAATTATCCAGAAGATATTTTGGGGGAGCAATCTTGCCCATTGAGGCCTACATATACAAGATAGCTTCAGACATAACCTTCTTGTGTGCATTGGGCTGAATCAAACCAGATGTAATCTAAAACGCCCTTAGCCTTTGAAAATAAACTCTTTCTGATCCTTTTCACAGGGATAGCTGCGTTTGTTCATCCTCCGTTGCATCAAAAAAGTACAATGGCTTGTGACACTTTAAAGATGAGGAAGTTTTATTTGGCATAGACTGTTGTGAACTGTAGCCCACCTCTTCAGACCAATGAAGCTTCCTCAACCTTAACAAATAAAAGATTCTACAGTATGAAAAAACTATGACGCACAAATTTGGTGCCATTTTTCCCTTGGAAAAGTCTTTAGTATCTTTCCCAGACTGCTTTAAATTAGCGGATCTCTTTGGGAAATGGCTAGCTTTTCAGAAGGTGTGGGTATTTTCTGAAAGATTGTGGCGTGTATACCTGTATCTAAAATATTTTATCTAAAGAAAGTTATATAGATTGATTTGACATTCCAGTTATGTGAGTTTCAGGTCATTTATATTGTGAAACTGTGAGTAGATTTAGGTTAAATGAAATGGATATTAAAATAACATTATACAAAACTCCATCATGTAGTAATTATAGGAACTGAGGAGTTCATGCATTTATATGGGCTAAATGTCCATTTCTTCAGTTGCCCACACTCAGAATGGGGAGAGGGTGGAAAGACACCAATTGGCAAGAGATGAAGGTGATGGACACTAGTTAGTGGACTGAGGGAGGAAAGGTCTTGTCGTGGCCGTGAGCCATCATAGCTGTGTATCTCTGATTATCAGGTGCAGTGGCCAGACTACGAGTGAGTATTGTCATCCTTCCGCCTGTGGGTGTTCCCCAAGGCACCTCCTCTTCCTCTCCTATAATTTGTGCAGATCTTTTATGTTTCTTGTAAATGCCGCCATCTACTGGTATTAAGAGTTTAGAGAAGTCTAGGTTACAGATCTACAATAGATTTCGATAGGGTGCTGATTTTTTGTGATGAGTGTAAAGCACTTTGGAAATCTGTGGAAAGCAGCAAGACTTTTCTCTTTCTTTTCTGAGTGTCTCTGAACCTCTACACAAGCATAAACCTTCGTCTTCAGTGTTTTCTTGCTTTTGAATGGTGGTGCTGGAGGAGACTCTTGAGAGTCCCCTGGACCGCAAAGAGAACAAACCTATCCATTCTAAAGGAAATCAAACCTGAGTGCTCACTGGAAGGACAGATCCTGAAGCTGAGGCTCCAAAGCTTTGGCCATCTCATGAGAAGAGAGGACTCTCTGGAAAAGACTTTGATGTTGGGAAAGTGTGAAGGCAAGAGGAGAAGGAGACGACAGAGGACGAGATGGTTGAACAGTGACACTGAAGTGAATGACATGAATTTGACCCAACTCCAGAAGGCAGTGGAAGACAGGAGGGCCTGGCATGCTCTGGTCCATGAGGTCATGAAGAGTCGGACACGACATAATGACTAAACAACAACAACACAGTGTTTTCTCAGAGCAAGGGAGGAAGGAAAGGCCCTCCCCCCTTGCACTAGGCCTTGAGTTCAGTGTGATATAAATCAAGACCCCTTTTCGGGAGGGGGGTGTTTCTGGTAGACATCATGGGGGGGGGAGCTGCCAACTTTGAGCGTCTGGAAATGGGGTTCCTGCAATCTTGTTTTCCTATCTTGTTGCAGTGGAGATTTGTATGGGATCTCCTATCTTTTGAATAGGCGTAAAAGGCTTGTAATGTCTGTGATCTTTCAGTATTTGTTTGCTTTTCTTTCTCAAGTAATGAGAAAAGATGCAGATCCTCACAGATTAAAGATTAATCGATTAGAGACACTGTCAATAAAAATAATGACTTACATTAATTTCCATGGGAATGTTGGTGTATTTTTAGAGGGATCTGGACAGAAGGTTTTCAAGCCTTATGCCATCTTTAAGAACCAGTCTTTAGAGGTTTCCTTGTGAAAAAAGGAAAAGAAGAGTCAGAGGGTTTCTTTTCAAACATTACAAAAGTGATTGTGATGAATTATTGATTAAACACTGGAATGAATATTGAGAGTGAATTACTTCTAGAAAGTAAATTTCCAAACTGCAGAACCTGAGGCAGTGCATCAGCTTGCACTGAAAGGCCAAAAAAGAAAAAAAAAGGTACCTAACATTAGGAGAATAACTGATAATTAGATTAAAAGAAATTTGGGGATGTGCTTTTTATCTTTTATTCTTCAAAAAATCTAGTGTTTCTCCTTGTCTCACAATGTTCAGGTAATGTTGTCTTTCCCCCTCTTTCTTTTTCATTATTTGCTACGACTAACAAAGTCATCTGCTTATTGTCTGTGGTATATAACTTACCAGTTGATTTAAAATATCTAGTTCTTTATTCCGTTCTTTGAGGCTGTTGTTTGGAAATCAGCTAATATGGACTGGTGACTGAGATGTTGGTTTTGTGTTTTAAAGTAACTTTTGTTTGTGATTTGGTTCACTTATTTCAAACCTGACCTCCAAATATTGATCTGCTTTTCAGTTCTATGTTTATTTATGCTATTGTGTGGTATTTATCCTAATAGATAAACTCTTTGTTGCGTAAGTGAGTCCTGTGGAAAAAAACCCATTTTATGAAATTAATGACTTTACTTGACAGGGCTCTTTCCTCACAACTTCACCCTCACAACAACCATGCAGTGTGGGTAGGGTTGGCATGTGTGACCAACCCCAAATGAGTGTTAATAGCTCAGTGAGGATTAGAACTTGGCTCTAAAACCTGGATCTGGCAAATTTCAATCTAGGAGGTGAAAGTCGCTCTGGGAGAAGTTTATTTTTTTCTTTTTCTCTCTCCATTTCTGTATTGTCCAGCTAGTGTTGCCACCCTCTGGGTAGTTTGAAATATGCAATAAAAACATTCCAATGGGTATATAATAAGTACAATTAAACCCTGTCACTAGCTGAAACTCTTTGAAATAAAAATACACAAATTAAAACCCATTTGAACATCTCAAGACGAATTTACACTAACAGACGCTCAGCATTTAGAAACCCAAGGTCGGGAACCACTGGTCAAATCTGTATTTTAAAGGCTCTTCGTCGTTCTTTCTTGTACTGTTTTAAAATTCTGAACATTTTTGGATCAGTTATGAGGAAGCCCATTTTTTCTCTCTTTTGGTTCTCTTTTTTGCAGGTGCTACCAGAGAAATTGGCTCTGCTTTGACCAGAATGTGCATGAGGCACAGAAGTATAGAGTCCAAGCTCCGACAGTTTTCAAGGTGAGTCCTGTGTGCCAGTGAGCTGACAGGGGTTTGGAAGTCGTTCTTCATTAGCTCCTGGATGGCTGTCAAGATGTAATTGGTACACAACCTCTTTCATTCAGGACTGCACGGAGTTGTTTGCTGGGGCTGGCTTCCAGCTAACCTCTGATGTTTTGTCAGTGGGAACACCCTTTCCTTTTCTCTCGCCAAACAATCTGGGCTTTGTGGAAAGAGGAGATTGAACTGCCCATCGTGAGAAACTAAGATCTCCAACTCAAGTCTTTTTACACACCAGGGATCCACATCCTTGTTGCCACTGTAGCTCAGCGGCGAGCGGCAGATGCCAAAGGGCAGAACTTCCAGGATTGAGAAGCAGGCAAATATTTTACTGGGCCTGCTCCAATATTCTGAAATAAGTTCCAGAGATTGACTGTGTGAATAAGTTAAAATTGGGTAGGCCACCTGGGCCCTCTTGATCTTTAGGACTCCAGCTCCCATAATCCCTTACCATTGACCATGCTGACAGGGCAGCAATCCACTACAAAATATCTGGGTTCCTATGAGTTACAAATAAGGGAATCCCCAGAGTAAATCTATACTGTGCCAAGCAGTCATACTCTTGATTAGCCATGGTCTCTTAGTGTCAGCCCCGCCTTTCTTATACCATCTGTAATATGGAGACAGTTTCACACACACTAGTGTGTAGGAATGGAGTATGGGTTGCAGAGATAAGGTTTGTGAAGTGCTTCAATCCAGCCTGAAGCATTCTTACGAATGCTCAGCAGTTATTGATAGATATGAACCTGTCCATTCTGTGATTCTGTAGTCGTACAGAAGAGGGGCAGGATCTGTTCTGAATCATCCCTGAGTGCAGGACAATTAATAATGGGCTCAATCTACAGAAGCCATATTTAGGATGAATATTAGTAAAAACTCCTCAACTATTAGAGGAATATGACAGTAGAACCAGTTACCTTGGAAGGTGGTGAGCATTCCAGCGCTGGAGGCATTCAAATTGGGCGAACTTCTTTCAAATCTGCTTTGATTTGGATTCCTGAATTGAGCAGAGGGCTAGACTCAATGACCTTATATCCCCCTTCTGCCTCTATGATTCTGTGAAAGTATTGCAGAGCATTCCATAATGAAGCTTAGGGGGTAGGTTCAGAATGGATTTTTTCCCCTTGCAGGATTTGATTCCTCTTTGTGTTTTCTCAATAAAATTAGTGCTTTAATTGACTGTCTGATAAACCCACTTCAAGAGCAGATGGAAGAGTGGAAGAAAGTGGTTAACCAACTGGACAAAGACCACGCAAAAGGTACTTATGTGAAAGGGGGGCTGATGGACAGATGCGCCTGAACTCTAAGGTTGGAAACAGAAAATAAAACAGATTTGTTGCAAGCACCTTCTCTTTTTCTATGGTTTACTCACGAAGCTACGATTAACTAACTAGTCATGCCACAAGCTGGCCATTGGGAGTTGATGCAAGACATAGCACTAGTTTTCTCTTAAGTCCACAATAGCTGTAAACAAACTTGCTGGTCTTTAAGGTGCCAGAAGACTCATTTACTTTATTGTCCTTTTTTCTTGTAAGCTGCAGGTGTGGTAGTGGGCACTAGAAGTGCTGCTCAGGCATGGATCCTGCTCATAGCCACTCCTCAACCCCTCTGCTCCCTGTGAGTAATTCAGTGGGGAGTTTTTTTTTGAAAAAAAATGAGACCCTTTGGAATTACTTTAAACATCCCTGATCACAGAGCACTGTGTTTTCTGTGTTTCCTCCCTGATCCTCTGCATATCCTTACATTTTAAGTTTCAAAATACTGTAGTATAACAATTACTCAGACTTTTTTCAAAAGTGCTTTGATTTGCAATCCTTTACAAACATACATGGGAACAAAGCTCATTGAACTCAGTGGGGCTTACTTGTGAGTAAGCACATATGTAATTGGACTGCTCAATATGCTGCCGATTGCTTGCCTTGTTTCCACTTCTAATAACATGAGGCATAGCTTGAGCTTCTTCTAAAAGTCTACTGTGAAATAGACATCATGTGTGTCAAGAGTGCAGACTGTGTTTGTCTCTCTTTTTAGAATATAAAAAAGCCCGCCAGGAGATAAAAAAGAAATCTTCAGACACATTGAAGCTGCAGAAGAAAGCAAAGAAAGGTAAATGCCCCCATAGTTTTTCTTTACTTGCTTCATGAAGAATTCCATGTTTGATTTATAGTGATAGGTCATGATCATATGATAATATACCTAAATAGCTATTTAAAGTTATAAATGCTTGATTTTTTTTTTCATGCCATATCTAATGTCTCTACCCTGGAATAATCTCCCATATATTTCCACCCCTTTCTTAACTTGCTGGACTAAATAGCTATTTAAAGTTATAAATGCTTGATTTTTTTTTCATGCCATACCCTGGAATAATCTCCCATATATTTCCACCCCTTTCTTAACTTGCTGGACCAGCAACAAATGATAGCTCCTTGCACGCATCTTCTTGGACCTTACATCAGGGATAGAGGGGGGGTAGTTCAAGGTTTTTAGGCAATCACCAGAGGCCCGCCCTTGGATCTATGCAGACTGAAAGAGCGAGGGAGCTGGAGAAAAGGGTGCACATGCTCGTTATTCCTGAGAATAAGCAGAGAGATACAGGTGCTACTGGGCAATAATCGCATGCAGCCGAGAACACAAGAAGAAACTTCCTCTCCTGTCCCATGCTCATCACATTGTGTCTTTTTAGGTGCATCTTTCAGCATGAAGTGACTAGGCCTTTTCAAGCCTATTCTTTCAGGTATTCAAGTGAGACCATGAACCAAAATTTGAAAAAGTTTGAGCTACATGGCTCATGATTTCCCTGTATTGTGGTGTGTCATGGGCAAGCGTTGTTAAGTTACTTGTTGAGGCCCTGATGTCTGCAGGGGATGCATTGGTTGTGCCAAGATCCTCTCGGCTCTGCTGTTGTTGTTTCTCCTTTCTGGCTCTGTCCATTTGCTTGCATTCTGCAGGAATAAGCTTTACCTATTGCGCAGTGGTATAGATGGGATCTAGAGCAGGGGGTACACTACTCAGGGGGGCCTGGGGACCTGTTTTTCACTCCCAGGAGCCCTGATGGATGATGCCTAGCTCAATAATTCAAGGCCAAAATCCTGTTGAGGTTTTAAACTAGTGAAACACAATTGACATCTAGCTCATTGGTGAATTGCTGCAAGTTAGGAAGTTAGCATAGGCATTTGCTGTTGTGTCAAGTCACATGGCCACAAATGCCTATGCTAACTTCCCTAACTTCCCATAGTTTGCTAGTGATATTTACCCCAATTCATTATACTGGTGGGTGTAACTAACAGCATTTTGCACACACATCCATCCAAGTTATTTCTTGTTTCTCAGTTCTATTTTTGGATGGTGGAGGGGACCTAAAGACCAATTTAGTGGCAAAAATGCTGGTCCAGGAGGCTTCCAGGAGTAAAAGTGACATTTCTCCAGCCTCTCGCCTTTTTTATTTCATCTGGGACCCCAGGGAAGCCAGGGCTTCAGTGAAAAGGCCTTGGGTCCTTTTAAGGAAAAGGAATGGATAAAAATATCTTAAATACATTAATAATCAATAAATAAATGTGGCATGGAGGCTAGTCTTTGCCCATTTATGGCCTAGAGAAAAAGAGAGAGAAAAGGCGAATAAAGAGGAAATCGGGACAGAAGTGAGGAAGAGGTAAAGTCATTCATAGAGGAGCCCACTGAGGACATCATGCCCTGGACCTTTTTACACAGAACCCAGAGCCAGTACTTAAGTTATGATTCCCCTCCCACACAAAGTTGGAAGCCAGCACATAATTTAGGAAACACTATCTTACTGAATTGGCATGCATATCATGACCATGCTCTAACGTACTTTTTGTTCCAGCTATTAGGATGTCTGGCTATGAGGTTTATTGCTGCTAAAGTGTTCTCAAAACACTGTCCTTTCATTTCATTTGACAAGATGCCACATTTTGCTGTGTTTTTTTAACACAACAAACACTACTGGAAAGCAAGCTGCTTGTTTTGAGTATCATATAACAATTAAATTAGGAAGTTACGCTGTGTTCCCACCCTTTGTGTGTTCCATCTGTAAACACTGTGCCTCCTACAGTCATTGCCTTTTGTTCGCTGATTGTATCATGTATTTATATGTATTGAGTAAGAGAAAGCTTAGATAAGTCAGTGGAATTCGTTCAATCTTATGTACTGAAATATTTCCATATGATGCATTCCACTGGTGCATTTTACCAGTGGGTTTTACAGCAGGTTTCAGAGACAGCCTTTCCAGTGAAACCATAGTCAAGGTTGTTCAAGGCTCTAGAGTTGGTCTCTGTTCTGTGCTGAGCTGTACCCCTGTCCCATCCATATTGTATCGTTGGTCACCTGCTCAATTCTGTGCTTCTAGGTAACTGTTTTGCCAATTCTGGGAACATAGAGTTGCGGAGGAGCAGTTGTATGGAACCCGGAAGCTGTTCCTACAAGTGCTGTGTCCATCTTGAACAGATAGCAATCCATAAAACACAAGTGGGCAATAACGTTATTGGGATCGACTGTAGATTCATGGAATGCACCATCTTTGGGGGGTCTATAAAACTCTTCATAAAGCTAAATGGTTAAAAACAGTATGGGAAGTGGAGAAGGCATAGGCATCCAGACTTGGCAAGTTTTGTTTAACCTGTGGATTTCTGCACAGGGTTTATGAATGAGAGAGTTCTGCAGGTATCACATGACCTCTGGCAAAGCCTGTTGGGAAGAAAGGCAATACGGAGGTTCCATTTTCTGCAGACACAAAGATTGCAGAAACAAAAATGTCTGTGTCATCATTAAGATATAACAGATTAATTTCCATGTTTTTGTGGGCTGCAGTCTACTGCTTCTGACCCTGAAGAAGCAGATTGTAACCAATGAAAACTCACACTGAAGTAAATGTGGTCATTTAAAAAGGGGACACAGTACAGTACAGTGGTGCCCCACTTGATGATTCCCTCGATAGACGAGGAAATCACTTTACGCTGAAGTTTTTGCGATTGCAAAACAATGTTTTAATAGGGAAAAACTGCTTTAGGACGATCGGTTCCCTGCTTCGGGAACTGACGCTTAACGACGATCTTTACAGCTGATCGTCGGGTCTTCAGAATGGCCACCCACTGTGCAAAATGGCTCCCCGCTCTGTTTTAGGATGGATTCCTCGCATTACAGGCACCGGAAAATGGCCGCCCTAAGGAGGATTTTCACTGGACGCTGAGATATTTCGCTCATTGGAACACATTGAACCGGTTTTCAATGCATTTCAATGGGATTTTTACTTTCGCTTGACGATAATTTCGTTCTACAGCGATTTTGCTGGAACGGATTATCCTCGTCAAGCGAAGCACCACTGTACTTCTGTTTTCTTTTTATTGTTGCTGACATAGCCACCTCTCTGAAAACTACAAAGCAACTGCAGTGTTTGTGTGTGGCATTAGGGAAAATGCACAGGCCCAAATCTTTGTCATGATGACTAAAGATTTGACTGTGACATTAGGAGGAGGTTGATTTGTTAGTTGACCATTCAGGTTGGGTACATGAGCAGGGATCCAAAATGGTAGTTTTGTCAAAAGAACTGCTTCCATCAGTAGGATTGGGAAGGAAATAGCAGCCACTCCCTCCACAGTGCCTGATGTGCCCTTAAAATCTGTTTTGGAGATCTAGGAAACCGGCTGGAGTAGATTTTCAGAAAGCACAGGATTTTGTTGGGGCACAGTTGAGAAAATGTCCCTCAACACTAGGGATGAGAAATAGCTTAAAACTGGACCTAAGCTAACTGTCCTTGATGCTAGTCCTTATTTAATGTTTCATGCTGTCAGGTTGCTCCTGACTTATACTGACTCCATGTTTTTGAGGCATATGAGATGTTTAAGGAGTGATTTACCATTACCACCCCTAGTCAGTTTCTTTGGCTGAGAGGGCATTTAAACCTAAGTGCTCTCAGTCCTGGTCTACAACTCTACGCACTACACCAGGCTGGCTCTCACTCTTAACCTTAGAACTTGAGCTTCAAGTGGCTGATTTTGACTTGTTGCTCTTACGTAGGCGCCATTAAGTCTCTTCTAACTTGTGGCAACCCTAATAGAAGTTTTTAGTTGGTGTGAGAGTGTGAAGGAGTGGATTATCATGGCCATCTCTAGTAAGTTTCTTTGTTCAAGCAAAGATTTGAATCCGATCAGCTGGCCGAAAATGGGGACTTTGCGATGATTGCTTCCCCACGATCATCGCAAAGCCCTGCCGATCAGCTGGCTGAAAATGGGGGCTTTGCGATGATCGCTTCCCTGCGATCATCGCAAAGCGAATTTTCCCCATAGGGGCCATCGCAAAGCGATCAGTTTTGTGATCGCAAAAACAGTGTCACAAAGCGATTTCTTCGCTATACGGAATGATCGCTGTGCGAGGCACCGTTGTATTTGAGTCACAAAGCGATTTCTTCGCTATACGGAGTGATCGCTGTGCGAGGCACCGTTGTATTTGGCTTTCTCTCATTTTTAAGTGGAAAATGTGGCTTTTGTCAATTGAACCATATTGTTTTGATTTCTGAGTTGTGACACATTGCCCCTCAAATTCTGTCAAAGGAGTGCTCTTAAGCAGATTGTGGCTAGTCCCCCCCTTTATTTTCTCACAGGAAATAGTAGTGCTTAGAATAATTATAAAACAGACATGTAGGCCTTGATAGTCATCTTCAGATACTTGAAAGCTGCTGTGCAAAAGGTGAAGAAAACTCCCCTGACCCAGATATAGTGGGTACGCCCTTATATTACAAGAAAGAGGATTTTGACTAAACATGAGGAAGAACTTCTTGACAGAAAGATCTGTTCAGCAGTGGAACAGGCTACCCCAGAAAGTGGTGGTTTCTTCTTTGTTTGAAGTTTTAAAACAGAGGTTGGCTAGCAGTCTGATAGCAATGCTTTAGCTGTGGTTTCCTGCTTTGGCAGGGGTTAGACACAGGGTGGATAAAAACCAATTATTTTTAAATCAAATTGATTTAAATCATGATTTAAATAAAAATGCAATATTTTAAATTGTAACAAAATCTGATTTAAATCATGATTTAAATCAAATCCACTCTGGTTAGACTAGATAATCCTTGGAGTGCTTTCCTACTGTAAAACAAG